ACAGCAATGGCGATCACGATGTCACTTCTTATCAGACCAGAATGATTGAAATAGTATGTACTCAGTGTGTTGACCATAGAGGTTCGCTTTCTTTTCCCGTCCCTAANACGCAATACGGGAGGTCGGCGAACCACAGTTAGTGAAACAATCTGCGACAAAAATGAGCAAGCTATTCACAATAGGGAAGAACGGCTTGACCGGTGGGCAGAGTACTTCAACGAACAGTTGAGCTGGCCAGGCGCTAACCAGGCTGCCTCCTCCGGTGTAGCTGAGGCTCCGTGGGCAGTGTCATCTGAACCTCAGACTGCGGCAGAAGTATCTCGTAATGACTGCGCAAACCACCATGGAATATGTTTGATCCCAATCGTCACCAAGTTACTAGCCTCTATTATACTTCTACGTCTGACACCGTTTAGGGAGATAAATATCCGCGAACAACAAGCAGGATTTCGACCAGGTCGCGGTTGCATCGATTAAATCTTCACCCTGCGTCAAGTCCTCGAGCTACGCCATACGCACCGTCGACGAACGGTTGTCGTGTTCCTTGACCTAAAAGCAGCCTTCGACTCAGTTGATCGTAAATCCCTTATGGGTTCGCTCCTTCGCAAAGTAATGCCGCAGAAGTATGGGAACATACTTAGTTCACTCTACTCATAACTCTGATAGCGTAAGGGTCTACGGCGAGCTGAGCAGGTCGTTCGTAACTAAGAGCGGTGTTCGTTAAGGGTGCCTTCTTTTGCCATTCCTGTTCAATTTCGTCATAGACCAAATACTGGAGAACGCACCTAGAGGTCTCCAAAATGTAGGTATTGAGTGGACAGCTGGAGAAAAGCTGCGCGATTTGGAGTACGCTGACGACATCGTTTGCTTGTTCGAATCTATGGAGGATGCGCAGAGAGCACTTGAAAGATTAGCAAGTTCTGTCGCTCCGTTCGGCATGTGCTTTGCACCTTCAAAGTGTAAAGTGATGCCACAAGACTGGGTGTCGCCGAGTTCTGTCCTGAAACTAGACGGTCAGGAAATAGCTGAAGTTGACTGCTTCTCGTAATCAGGTAACTGCGGGACCAACGACAGTAGCGCATCAAACGAGACAACCGTCCGCATTTCCAAGGCTCGAGCAGCGTACACAGGACTAAAACACCTGTGGCGGCGACGTGACNCGTATCACTAAAGTTGAAAAGTCGCGTATACTGCTCAACTGTACGGTCAGTTCTGCTTTACGGTTGTGAGACCTTGAATTTACGGGTAGAAGATACCCGTCGTTTAGCGGTGTTCGACAATCGATGCTTACATAGTCTGGCCCAGGTTGGATGGAGTGAGCGGGTTAGTAACTTAGAAGTAAGTCGTCGGGTGTTTGGGAATACATCAAACAAGAACTCCAAAAGCCTCAGTATGGTCGGGGGTGGGTGTCTAGGGTTGTGGCTTGTCACCCTGCCCTTGCACCTCGAGAAATGCTCCCATACGACCAAGCGTCTTGAATAGCCTCTGATGAGGAAGCCCTACTCACTGTCTTCTCGTGGCGGTGTTTTCCCATCAAAGTGAGAAGACGAAAAGCCGACATCCGGGGAGTTGGCCAAAAACCCTGATTCTAAACCAACCATGAGGAGGCGTACGAACCACACCACACTTTTTCGGTTGTGACAATGGNATGGTCACCGGCTCCCAATGGGCTGCGGTTTTCATACACCGCCCCGCTGCCTTACGGGTCAGGCTTTGGCTAGCCAAAGATTCCGGTTGTGAATTCCTCAAGAAAATTCACCTGCCTTTGCCTGGTTAACCTGGCAGTATTCAACCCACAAGCCAATCATGGAACGTTTTTTCTTTCTATAAAGATTACTGCACCATGATTTTCCTGGCACAGTCTGTCCTCAGACAAGTGTGAAAAAATAAACAAGAACTCGCTATTTCATCGAATCCAGCTGAATAGGCTCCGTTGGTTAGGACACTTTGCGTATGTCTGACGGTCGCCTACCGCAGCGCGCCTTGTTTGCAGTGGCTGTTACAGGCTGAATAAAGCCACATGGAGGTCAGCAAATGACGCGGAGAAGAGGCGTAAAGAAAAGCACAGAGCGATCATGTAGAGTAGGTATCTATCGTCTTCCGGTTTGGGGTCCAAAAGACTCCAAAACCGCATGGTTGGAGACACTGAAGGTCATGGCTGCGAACCGACAACAATGGCGATCATGCTGTCACTTCTTATCAGACCAGAATGCTTGAAATTGTATGTATGCAAAGTTGGACTGCGTACTCTGTGTGTTGACCATAGAGGTTCGCTTTCTTTTCCCGTCCCTAAAAATATATCCAATCCCTGTCCTTACACATTATCGCTTACCTTGTATGCAATATGAGTTTGGCAGCGATCAGTAAAGTTCGCTTCGCTGTATTAGATTGTAAGATGATGATGATGATGAGCTACATGGAGAAGTCAGCTAATGTCAATTCTGGATGGTGGTGGAGCAGTGATTTAGTGCGTTGGACCNCTGATTCGAGGTTCGAACCCCGCCACCCAACTTTGGTCGTATGCAGCTTTGCTATCATCCGGTTCAATACCACACCTAACCTAGTGAAGCCTTATGTGGTTCGCCACTCCCGGAGCTTGGGTTACCGGTTTCCATCGCTGACTCGTGACTATGGAATTCGTTGCGTCTGCTGTTCATCACACTACGATGTGTTATAAAAAAGGTGCTACGGACGGTTTTTTATTGCCTAACATTGTCTGGTGGACAATAGGTGACCTGAAACGAGGATTTACTTTGCCAATATAAAAATGTTCATTTTGCCTTGTTTCAAACAGGCTCATTCCGTTGCATATTTTTACTTTTGTTTTCATTTTAAAAGTGACTAGGACTGATTCAAACAAGCACCTTCATCCCCAAAGAATCTACTCTAGTCATATTGTTTTAGTGCTCTTTTTGTTAGTCCAGATTCAGTCCAATCGCCCAATCGCTCACCTGCTGGTCACAGTAATATATCATACGCTGGTCTTTTGTTTCACATTCAGTCGTTTTCCCGGAAGCTACTCAGTAAACGGCGCATCCAATAAACTGGATCCAAGCAACTTAAAGCATTATTTTCTAACATCATATCGATCACTATTAAATCTACTCAATTCTTTCCCCAATTCTTCTCATAGACTGACATCTATCCTCGACTAGAGACTGAAATCAATCAACTCACGTCGATTGCCTGTCTGGTGAATAATGTCGGCATGTCCTACCCTCAATTCGATCGGTTCATGGATGCCAGTTTTATGTCGCTGGACTTTATCCGCAATCTGATCGCGTGCAATATGAACTCCACGGCCAGTCTGACTCGTATTGTTCTGCCCAAATTAATCAAACAGAATAAGCCCGGCTCGGCTATCATCAATTTGAGCTCGTTTGCCGGGACCGTTCCGTTCCCGTATCTGGCTTTGTACGGGGCGACGAAGAGTTTTGTCCATAATCTGACCGAATCGCTCCGACTGGAACTGGCTGGGACCGGGGTGATTGTTCAAACTGTTTGTCCTATGCTCGTGGCGACCAACATGAGCAAGGTGAAACGTACCGGGTTCTTCGTGCCCCCGGCCGAGAAATTCGCATCCAGTGCGTTAGATATGCTCGGTGTGGAACATGTGACCATGGGCTGTTTGGGGCATGCGATCCAGTCTTGGATACTGGCTTCCATCCCCGGTATGGTAGCCCGCACAGGCAAGTCGAAATACGAACTGACAATGAGGCGATTGAAACGGCAGTAGACTAACCGGCTGGCGTGTATGTGTGGTTGTGAGCGGAGATCACGGCTCTATGCATGTGTTTGGATCAACGTTCCCATTGAAACTATCCGTGTTTCGATCCACTCATTCTTCATATGATATTGGTGTTGTTACATTCACCGTACGATCTGTGTTTATGTAGCAGCTAGCTCAACTTTTCCTTCTTCACAAACCTCATTGTTTGTTTAATGGTATATATTTCATTTTTAAGCGAAAACGCTGTTCGTTATCCTTTTTTTCACTATGGGGCAGAGGATGTTTATTGACTCGAATTCATGTCAATCAACACACACGCACGCACCATACTGATGGTACAACGGTAGAAAAAATTGTCGCACTATGGCATAGTTCGTGCAGTTGTGTCGTCCTAATCTGAGAGCACAAGAGCTATAAGAATCTATCCAGTGTGAGGTTGATTGGTATGTTTTTTTTCGTATATCTAAAATATGGTGAGATCCGTTACAACTTGTAAACATGGGTTCGGCAAAATTGCTTGCTGTTCCGTGTTGGAGATTGGTGACCTAAGCCCCGGGATTTGGAGTTGCGAAGCACGTAAGGCCCCGTTAGGTTACTTGTGGTATGGTTTTTAAACTCTGATTTATTAGGGAATCGCAATTTTTTTCTAAGATCGCGTGTTAACTAAATTGAACAAGTAAATAAGAACAGCACAAAACAAGAGGCCGATTCAAATTCCTGAATCGATTGGTTGCAATTTCCACACGAATAATCGATGAAGTGATTGCAACAAAAGCGTTAAAATATCAGGTTTTAATCAGAAGCCTACTAGGAAGTCAAAATGAAAATGAATTTATTTGGAATTCTCTGCATCGACCGAGGTATTTAGGAACCGAGTTTGATGTGAACAGACTGCAGATAGTGTTGCTAGAATATAGTGCTCATTGGTTTGGGAAATTATCCTCACCATTTCTGTCTATTGTCCTCTGTTATTATGTATTACTAAAGGTGATGGAGCTGGATGGGTTTACACCATAACTAAATGTCCCAACTTGCCAATTTTTCTTTCTATTTTTGTTCGCTTCGTATGCTTGTAACTTAGTAGTATTGTATTGCAATGTGGAGAAAGATATCAACTACTGATTAGTGTCAAATTCACGTGACATCAAGTCGAATGTGTGTACACGATTAACGGAATGATTATGAATGGATAAATGGATAAATTCAAATGGATAAATTGATCGGTTGTTGTTGGTAGGGGCTGTTTTCACATTATAGGCTGTCATTTTTAAAACGTAGCCTCTGACATGATTGCCCAAGTTCCTCTGAGGGTGGGTGGGGCTTCGTTCTTGTCTTGTAAAGTGTTCTTGTAGTTTCTTTTTAGGCATCTGCTGGTAGGCCCCACTCACTGTCTTCTGCTGGCCAGAATGTTTTCACTGAAAAGGACTTATAGACAAACACCCGGTCGAGCTGATGAGCCGCGGGCAGCTGATCTGAAGACTCCGATTTCTGTACTTCCAATAAGATGTGCACGAACTGACTCCGGTTGGGAGAGTCATCGGGTTTATTGGGTATCCTATATGCGTAAATAGAGTGCGATCTAACGAAATGCTCGCTTCCCTCGAGATCAGGTTTTGGCGGGCCGAAGGCGTTAAGTATGAATTTCATAGAAAACCTAACACTGTTACACACAAGAATTAGTTTCCCTGCTATAGGGATAATTGTATTATAAGCCCGTCACAATTTTGGCCCAATCCAGTGTACGATTGTCCCACTTCCATGACATGACAGAAACTACCGTAGCTTGTTTTTCGCTCGTAATACCGATCGATGAGCCTGATATGGTTTTAGTTTCTTTTTTATATCTGTCTCCTGCTTAACGACGAGCTAGCTAGCTGTCTTCCGACGTATCACGAACGGTGGCTTTCCAAATGGGGCTGCTTGTGTCAAGGTCTGTACATAGCCGAACTTCATGGGGACCTCGGTATTTCACATCCAACTTGGCCGAGTTCACTCCGGATGTATGAGGAACAATCGCGGGAACCCGATACAAAATGTCATCCCCAAAAGCACTGTATTAAAACCATTAGACAAATTAAGATCTTCGATATAAAACGATACACTGGAACTCGAACTTGTCGTTGTCTCCCTGGCAATGGTTATCTTTTTGACGCAGACAGATAGCAGCTGCTACAAAGGGCATTTTGATGTCTGTTTATGAGTACTGGAGTGATCTCATCATCTTTTACACAGCCGTTTACACTCGTTCTGACCCGGGAAAGGCACATTCATGTTTTCAAGCTGATGACGTAACCTTCCGATTGCCATAAATGGTCAAACCCCTACCGGACGGTTGGTGACATGTACCGAATGTGAGTGGAGATCAATTGAGTGCCGTGCCTCTTAACCTGCTGCACTTGGGGAACTGTATGCATAATTCTAAGTGGTTGTATATAGACTTCTGCCTGATGTTTTTCCCTTCTGGTGGAGTGAGGTTCTCTTCTGTTTGATCAACAACGCAAGACAGGATAAAAGTTAGATTTGAAACATCGAGTCCCCTTTGTCCATTTCATCAATTGGAAAAACGACAAATGTTGCGAGGTGTTAACGCTTCGTTGAATCCTCATTCATAAGGAACGGAATGTGTTCAAGCAAACAAAGATTGTTGAACATGGAAGTGCGAGGTGAACTCCACGGTAAGCGGACTGGTTGTGTCAACAACCTCTGTGCGCATGAAATCGGGCAATGTGATTTACCAGGTTACACTGCATTCATTGAGATTCCGAATCAATGGTTTGGAAGACAAAATGGGATCCGCTGTTAGTCTTGTTTCCACGAGATGTTTTGCATCAGGTGATCTCGGGTTTCATGTGATCGGGTACGTCATTGATTTCGCTAACCGCATTGGAATGTATTCGACCATCCGTTTCGCTAGCTGACGGTTTGTCATACCCATGTGTGCGTCACCGCAGCTGCAGGTGAACTGTTGTACAGCGTGGGAGACAGTAACAGTCTGCCAGCCATGTTTACGTTTGTCAATCAATTCCGCGAGTAGAGGCAACCGGGAGTGTTCGGTACAGAGTTGAATTGAACTTTAGGTGCACGTCATTGTAAATATGGTCATACTGGAACACAGGAATTAGGTAGATGAATGACCCTTGTGGGTCACCTTTTACAAATCTCCTTCTATGAAACTTTTGGGCCACCATTGTTTAGCAATAATATCCTCAGGGATTGCTCTTCTTCTCGAAGCATAATCTGTTCGATTAAACTACCCGATTTCATGCGTGCAGAAGTCGACACAATCAGTCCGCATACCGTGGGCTTCACTTCTCACTTCTGTGTTCAGCAATCTTTGTCTGTGTGAACACATCCGTGTATTATAATTGATCAATCTAGTATGCTATTTATACGCCATCTTGTTTTACCTCAGAGATTCAGGAGATTAAACAAACTGTTGACGCCTCGCTACACTTATCTTTTTTCGATATTAATGAAAGCTGGCTTAATAAACCTTCACAGTGACTTGATATGATCATGTGCCTGTCTGTCGGACCCGGCGAGCAATACAGGACAGTTTTTCGTTCAAGCTCGCGATCTAATTATTTGTATTTCAACAGTGTATACAAGATAGATGGAACTCGGTCTTATGGAACTAGCTGAGGGACGGTAACCGTTTTTTCAACCATCCTCGGTCGCTCCTGAAAGAGAGGGGGGGGTTCTAACAAGAACAAATAAACAGAAACCGTGTATCGATAAAACAACCGCCGGCTGATCATGAAGATGGAGTAACTGTGGTTTCTCTTTTGCCGGACCTGTGTGTGGCAGTCTATGCAGCTGAAGCGATTCATTCCACAAGATGCTTTTTACCCCTGTTCTATTGATCACCTCGGTTCGGGCTCCTGCAAAGTGGAGAGACAGATGTGTTTGACCACTTAAGCTTTACCTAATAACTTAAAACTATAGCGTATAACTATTGCGATAATGCAAGCCGATTGCGTTGTTATCGATGATGGCGTCCTGCGACCCCTTGCCCACTCACCCGCACACAGGAATACAAGGTCTATTGGACACAGATCCAAATTCGTGGATGAATCTAATCTTGAAGTAGAAAAGTTTGCTTTTTTACTATAGCAATCCAGCTATAGACTTGAACACCGTGGTTACCGCCCCAAGTGCAGCGACGAGTTAGAGTGACTTACTTACTCGTAAGGTCCG